TAGAGATCTGTGCCAAATTTAATGGTGATCCTTTGGGGTCCTACACAAATGGGTGTGGGAGGGTCGCATAGGATCATTACTCATAAAAATAAATTTGAAATTTTTCTTATAACATTATCTAAATTTCAAAATCTAATTTGAAATAAATAAAATGTAAGATTTGGTTATCAATAAAATTAGCATAATTATCAATATAACTAGCATAATTATTAATTATAACATTGAAATAAAAATGATTCAAAAAACATGAGTATAACACTCCCAAATAAAAAAATGTAATGCGTGAAATAATTAGTGTGGATAAAAATATAGAATTTAGAAACATAAATTTGTAATAACATTATAATAAAATTAAAAAATAAATAAATAAATTCATACTTGCAATGTAGGATAAATGATAAAGCCACTTGAAAATAGATTCTAAAGCGGCATGAGCTAATGTTATTTTTCTCTTAAAATATTCCATTAACTAGTAAATTTTTTTAATTGTCAATAAACTAGTATTAGTATTATTTTGTACTTTTTTAACATCCTATGAGCTAGTACTATGTTTTTTCCCTTTTAATCACAATTAGTTAAGAGCCTAATATTGATAAATAATCCATGAACTTTATTAGATCCCACTATTCTATATAATAGTGGTATAGAATAATAGTATTTGATGGATTGTATTATATTAGATGCACTTTATTAGCACTAGCGAGTGAGGAGAAGCGAGTGAGGACAATGAAATTTGTCCCATATCAAAGGGATGTGGAAGAAGATGGCATATAAAATAGTTCGTCTCACCCAACAAAGTATCGCGTGAAGGGAAGAGTGGTAGCATGTGCTGAGGGAAGTTGTTATCAATGATAATCGAGGGTGGCAAGATGGGCCCAGCATACCAATTTTATAACAGAAGGAGACAAAAGTCAAAATAACAAAGGTGGAACCAGGTGAGCTGTCGAGTTTCTAGCATTCCATTTGCCCGGATCCGGTTTCTTTGTGGAACCAGATAGGTATGGACGATATCCGATCCGGATCACCTGATTCCGGATCGGGTCACCGATTTTTAAAACACTAATATAATATATACAACATATTTTATATATCTTATTAATGTATATTTTTATTATATATAACATATAATATAATATTTATCATAATATAATATAAGATATTAATATATTATATAATATAATAATATAAATAGGGAAAAGTTTATATAGAGCCGAGGCTCTAAACAATCAAATTAGAGCCTACCTCAAAAACTTCACTAGAAGAGGTTGTTTTAATGCCCAAATATCTCTCAAATTGATCGTCTTGACATCAAGATGCATGGACATGAGAAAAAAATGGATTTCAAGTTTTGGAAATAGTGTATTTTGTAATGCATTTTTTTACCGTCAATTTTCATTAGATTTGTCGATCAACACTATTTTTGAAGCTTTAAACTTTATAAATAATTATGAAAAATATATTTTAAGGCTATCACAAAGATTTCCAATAATGAAAACCACATTTCGTTGACACGTATTTGAAGGTAGGCTCTAATTTGATTGTT